CTATTGACTTCTATACAATAAGAGCACATGTGTTTTCAAAAACTCGATATAATGCTTAATAGTGGCCGATCTTCGATCGGGTGAGCGGGGGTGCTCATGAAATGACCTTCTCCAATCGTACCCAAGTTCCCGAGCCGAGGCAACTTTGGTGATGACGGACACGTGGCCTTAGACACGAGTCAGGGTTTCCTAAATTTTCCAAAACAAAATATTTAGGTGGCGACTCTGTATCTGGCAAAGCAGTCCATGTTTGGCACTTTTTTCTAAAAATTAGTTTTTCAAAACGATTTGCCAGATTTGGACTCTTTGGTGATTTATCAATCTCGCATTGCACTTTGCGAGATCAGATTAAGAACTGTGACATTTGAGTCCGAACTGTAGTGAGCCCAATGAACAAAACGGGATTTTTCCCGGGACGTTCGGGGACGTCTACACATTCATAGCAATTTATTGTTACTGTGTTGTACTGCTACTGTCACAGAGATCTCTGTCGGTTCCCATGTTTGGAACCACTACTGTTTGCTGATATGATGGCCATCAACTGACTGTTCAGTCTATTAAGACCCACTGTACTATTTTGCTATTGGATGTACCACATATGATTATTATAGTTTCTGAATAACTATTATGGCATGAAATATAAGCCACAAACTGAATGACTGATATACTGATAAATGATTGTTTTCAATACTGAACGGACATTCATTCTTAACCTCTTTACGCATATGTTATTCACTGGGCTTTAGCTCACTGCTCATATATATATATATATATATATGTAGGTGTTCAGGCACCGGACCGTTGCTAGGAGCGTCAGGCTAAGCTCTTGTTTTGTCAAAGCCAACCACCGTGCCTCACTGTGAGGTTTCAAGTCCTTCAAGCTAGGGCTTTTCGGGGTGTTTTAGTTTTCCTCCTTTTTTGTATCTGGTTTTGGAACACTGTATAGACTGACATGTATACCCATACTGTACTGTTATGGTAGGGATTTGGTCCCTAACCTAAACGCTTGTAAATGATGTATGTATGTATGTATACACTGTTTTGTTTCTGAATGTGTTGTGAACTACTTTTTGGCCTCCTGAAGAAAGGAAAGAAATTCTAATGGGACGGCCGATGCCAAGCTGCTTTTGAACAGATCAAGGAATACTTACAGAACCCG